TCTACTTTCTCTAGTTACTTTTATAAAAGCATTTAGCCAACTTTTTTTTTTTTTTTTTTTTTAAAAAACACAGGTAATTTTCAAACTGAACTACAGGAAAAATGGGTTTCAAGTGGTTAAAAACGTACTTATTATATTGTATATATGTATATATCAGTTGGAAGATTCACCATGAATTTTATACTAGTAACTTAACTGCCTTATTAGATGTACATGTGAAGTTAAAAATAAGCCCAACATCAGAACTATTAAGACATGATAGAAATGTGCATTTTAGAATGAAGACAATAGAGCAATAGTTCATAGATTAAAAAGTGTCCTGTGGTCCAACACATTTGGGAAATGCTTTACACTCCTTCCATCTTAGAAAGTCACAGATAATAGACCACATCTGGCATACCAATAGTCAATATAATTCTAGAAAGTCCTTTGGTGAACAAATCTGACATTTATGAGTTTTCTTTTTTTTTCTTTTTTTAATATATTTTATTGATTTTTCACAGAGAGGAAGGGAGAGAGAGAGCTAGAAACGTCAATGAGAAAGAAACATCGACCAAAAATTGCCTCTTGCACACCCCCTACTGGGGATGTGCCCACAACCAATCTACATCCCCTCAAACATGGGACCTTTCAGTCTGCAGACTGACGCTCTATCCACTGAGCCAAACCGGTTTCAGCTATGACTTTTCTTTCTTGCCTCTAAGGAATCATGTACTTTACTGTCTGATATATAGTGTTTTGCAAACTAGTGTTTCATGTATTTTATTCATTTTTTTCTTGTTTTAGGCAGAAGAGTAAATTCAATCCTGGTTCACCCATTTAGGCAATATGTAGAGGTTCTGAAAGAGATTCTTAATTGTATAAGTATTGCAAGTGTTTTTAAATTGTCCAAATTACATCGTATCCAAGTCACTTTGAAGATTTATTTTATACTACCTGCAATGGAAAATAATAGACTTTGAAGTTAGATGTAAATTTGAATCTTGAAACTACTATTTAACAGGTATGTGATCTTGGGCAAGAAAAGTCACTTCCCTCAACCTCAGTTGTACCTTTGATAAAATGAGATTGGAAAATATTTATCTTAACCACAGAAAATTCTATGCAACATTTTGTTTTTATAGCAAAAATTTTGATATGGATTGGGTAATGTTAAAATAAGTCAGAGTTAATCTATAGTTTGTATTTCTATGAAAACACCTAAAATAATGAGATGATTTATAGTATTAGGAAAAATGTTAATAACATACTGAAATGCTAAAAGCATTTTTCCAGGGAAAACAAGTGGGATATAAATTGATTTTTAATTTTAAAAATTGTGTGTGTGTGTGTGTGTGTGTGTGTGTGTGTGTTTATGTGAAGGAAACACCATTGGAAGGATATATGACAAACTTGAGAACAGTGAGGAGCAGGACTAAGAAAAATAAAGAATCTCCTTTAAAAACAGCTGTATTAAAATAATAATGGATACATAAAAGTGAATAATAAAAGCATGTAAGGTGGCCTTAGCTGGTTTGGCTCAATGGATAGAGTATTGGCCTGCAGACCTAAGGGTCCTGGGTTTGATTCTGGTCAAGGGTATATAACTTGGTTGCAGCTCCTCCCTGTCCTGGGCCCTGGTCGGGGCTTGTGCAGGAGGCAACCAATCGATTTGTTTCTCTCTGTCTCTCTAAAAATCAATGGAAAAAATATCCTCTATTGAGGATTAAAAAAAAAAAAAACACCCAAAAACGATTTCTGACAGGTAACAGATGCATTTGGCACAAATCACACTGTCAATGCTAAACAGGCAATGAGCATTAGGAGCACATATGTAGACAAACAAAATTAGGCAGCAAGGGAGAGCACACCCCAGAGGGACTAGAGTGCTGGACAAGAGAGACTGGAGAAGACTTACGTGGGGCGATTCTAAGAAGAATTTAAGAAGTGAAGGGGAGTTCTGTTTTGAGCACTATCAGGAATTCAGATATTTTGATAATCTGTACCTAAGAGGGGAGAAACATAAAAGTGGATAAAGAAGGAGTAACTAGTAGATCTCTTCCCACCCATCCATCTACCCTCCACTACCTCCCTGCTGAGGTTTGACAGTCTGTTCAATGCTTCTCTGTCTCTGGATCTATTTTTTGTTCATCAGTTTATGTTGTTCATTATATTCCACATATGAGTGAAATCATGTGATACTTACCTTTCTCTGATTGGCTTATCTTTTTTAGCATATGCATATATGCATAACCATGGACACAGAACAAAGGTTGGTGAAGGCCTGGGATAGGGGGTGTAAGTGGGCTGAGAGAGGTCAATGGAGGAAAACAGGGACATACGTAATACTTTCAACAATGAAGATTAAGAAAATAAAAATAAAGAAAAAAAGAAAATTAATGAAATTGAAAAGATAAAAAAGGAGTAACCACTAATTTTGGCTAATGCTTTTGGTTGTTAAGAGTCTTTGTCTTTCTTGTGTTCAATATGCTTATTACGCTTAGCATAATGCTCTCCATGTCCATCCATGTTGTTGTGAATGGTAAGAGTTCTTTCTTTTTTACCGCAGAATAGTATTCCTTTGTGTAGATGTATCAGTTTTTCAATCCACTCATCAGTTGATTGGCACTTAGGCTGTTCCCAAATCTTAGCTATTGTAAATTGTGCTGCTATGAACATAGAGGTGCCTATATCCTTTCTGATTGGTGTTTCTAGTTTCTTGGGATATATTCCTAGGAGTGGGATTACTAAGTCAAATGGGAGTTCCATTTTTAATTTTTTAAGGAAACTTCATACTGTTCTCCACAGTGGCTGCACAGTCTGCATTCCCATCAGCAGTGCACGTGGATTCCTGTTTCTCCACATCCTCGCCAGCACTAGTCGTTTGTTGATTTGGCCAAGGCCATTTTCTAACAACTTCTCCATACCATCAATAATACCCTTTCTCCATTTACATGTCTATTTTGTTGGAGATAAGACCACTCTACCCAACCCTGGAGTTAATTATGCTGCCACAATGGCTGTACTCCTATGGACTTCACTGTGGTCCTCAGATGATGGAACAATGCTCAGCTGAATAGGAAAAATGCAGTTTGTTTTACATACAGGAGCTTTGTCTTTAGATTTCCTTCCCAGGCTAGTGGAGACTGATTGTTCACCCGATGATTTCGCCACAAAGAGAGTATAGAGCTGTGGCCTATGGGATTGATACCTGTTCCCTTGAGCATCTGTGGCCCTATGCACTGAGACAGGATCAAAGAAAACAATCTTTATTAGGAAATTTTCTGCTAAAGGAGAGAGGAGCTTCCCAGAGGAGAAATTTTTCATTTTGCAAACATTAGGAGATTTCTTACAGACTCTGTGTGCATGCGCTTGGGTAGTGAGGGCATTCTTATAGTGTTTGTCACACCCTTGTTGAAATCATCCTTGTGAATTCTCATCCCTATTAACATTTATTGGGGTTTATTAGTGCTAGGTGCTATGATTTCTATTTGTTATTTTATCTATTACTAAAAAACAAAATTTAAAATCTCATGAACTACATATTATTATGAGAAACAAGGTTTGAAAGCTTAGTCATTTACAAAGGGACACTGCTGGTGAGTGGCAGGGTTGGAACATAAATCACATTCTAAAAGCTTCTAAACCTTGTACTCTTAATGGCATATGCAATTAAAGCAACATTCTGCATATACAGATACTTATAGCTATTAGGCTCCATCTAATGTCACAGAATCAATATCTCCAGGGCTGAGATATAGTTATTGGCACTTAAAAAAAACTTTCCATGGTCATTCAAATGCTGCTGTTTAACAATTGGTATTTAGAGACCAGTCATGGAGGCTACCTATTCATAGAACTTGGAGTTGGGAAACTGCCTATATTGTTGTTGTTGCTGTTGTTTTTTGTCATCATGTATTCGTCCATTCAATATTAATAGAATACCTACTGTGTCTAAGACTCTACACCAGAAGTTAAAAGGTCATAGAAAACAATGTATCTCAAGAGCTGTATAGATAATATTGAAGGTCTTTTATGTAAATAAATAATTTAGATAGGAAGTGATAAAAAGAATGTTTATTAAGGCAAATGAAGTGCTGTGGGTCTTCAGTGGAAGAAGAAATTTATTTCCGGGGGTAAGACATTAATGGGAAACTAGTGTTGACATAGAAAAACTTCAGGGAGAGAGTGACGTTTGAAGTTCTGGTAAGATTTGGGCATATAAAGGGCATTGTTCACATGGTATATGTACTGATTAGCTGTCTATGGCTTTCTAACTTTGAAGAAGTAAGCTGCCATGTTACACAAGGGGTGATGAAGAGGGCCATGTGGCAAAGCATTGTGGATTGCCTCCTAGAGCTGGGAGCAGCCCCTGCTGAGAGCCAGCAGAGGGGCAGGGCTCTCCGTCCTACCACTGCAAGGAGATGAATTCTGCCAATAACATGAGGGAGCCTGGAAGCAGATCCATCCCAGTTGGGCCTCCAGATGAATTCCCATCCCGATTGACACCTTGATTATAGCATCTCAGAGGATGCAGTTCAGCAGTGTCTAGATTCCTGCCCCATAAAACTGTCAGGTAATGATTGTGTGTGTGTTTTAAAGCCCCTACATTTTTTGAAATACGTTATGCAGCAATAGATCTAGACTGTAGACTAGCACCAATACAGATTTATTTCCTTATTGAGGACTATTCACTTTTTTTTTTGGTCTTGCCTTACTAAATAATCCTATATAATAAAAGGAGATTATGTAAATTGTTCCCTTGACCGGTAGTTTGACCAGGAATTCAACCAGAAGTTGGTCCAGGGGGTGTGGCCCACTAGCCAACTGCCCAAAGCCCCTTTCCCTGGTTGGCTCGGCCTGATTGGCTCTGATCAGGGTGGGCCAGCCAGACCCCACCCATGCCCAAATCTGTGCACTGGGCCTCTACTACTATAACACGCATCTTAAATATATGTCCTTATGGACTAGAATTTCATTGTACAGATTTATTTGCAAGGCTGAAATTCTGAATTAAAGATTATTTTTTTAAAAAGATATGGCCAGATTCCTTCTAATGTAAAGTAACACTTCAATTTTCTATTAACAGTGTGTGAGAACATAATTTTTCTTACATCACAGCATTTAATAGGCATTACCATTCTTTCACAGTTTTTGCCAGACACGTTGATAGAAAGCTGTTATCTCATCATGACTTTAATTTGCAGCTCAGTCTTAGTAAAAATGAGCCACTTTCCATGTTGCTTGACTTTCTTGTTTTGATTTCTTGAAAATTAGCTCTGCTCGTCTTGATGTTTACATGCACAGAGAATTAGACATTGAGGATCAAACTAGAGGCACTTCTTTCCAATCCCTTTCAGAGCTTCCTTCACATCTTGGTTCCTCAGGCTGTAGATGAGCGGATTTAACATGGGAATCACGATGCCGTAAAAGACAGAAGCCATTTTTTCTTGTTCTCGAGACTCCTGGGACCCGTGGTGCAGATACATGTAAGAGAGGGTCCCATAGAAGATGGTGACTGCTGTCAGGTGGGAGGCACATGTGGAGAAGGCTTTTCTTCTCCCTGCAGCAGAGGATATCTTCAGGATGGCAGCCAGGATATATGTGTATGAAAAGATGACAACCGACACGGTGAACATCAAGTTAAACCCTACAAAGACGGTCAGGAACATGATGCTTAAATCGATGTTGGAGCATGAGAGAGCAAGGATCGGGGGCTCATCACAGAAAAAGTGGTTAATTTTATTGGATTTGCAGAAGTTCAGTGAGAAAGTCAGACTGGTATTTACAGAGGCATTTAGGAAGCCCATGAGGTAGGAGCCAACTAAGAGTTGAATGCAGACTCTCTGGGTCATGACTACTGGGTAGTGGAGTGGGTTACAGATGGCCACATAACGGTCCACAGCCATCGCCGCAAGGATATAGCAGTCGCTTGTTGCAAAAGTGCCATAGACGAGTAATTGCACCATACAGCCCATGAATGAGATGGATTTTCCCGTTTCTAAAAAGTTTTGCAACATCCTGGGAGTGATAGCAGAGGTGTAGCAGAGATCAACAAAGGCCAAGTGTTGGAGGAAAAAGTACATTGGGGTGTGAAGGCAGGAATCAATCTTGATGAGTAGGATCATCCCCATATTACCCACGAGGGTGGTCACATAAATCACAAGAAATACCATGAAGAGGATATGCCAAGATGAGTGCTGACCAGCAAATCCCAGAAGAATGAATTCAGTCACCTGAGTGCCATTGCTTTGTTCCATGACTACCAAAGACTAGGAATCACCTGAAAAGATACAAAGAAAGAAATGCAGAGAAAGCTAAGATCATTGTGATCCTTGAACTAATTCTATAATTGGAAATGGTGTAAAAATTTGGTTTCATAGCAGGGTTAGAGAATATTTTCTATGACATAATTGATGTATATTTTAAAGGCTGGACTTTGACATCTGACTGAGATAATTTCATATACAGCTGGGAAAAATTGCCATGGGCCAGTAGCTGTGATCCCAGGGTGAAAACTGATTGGCATTTCATAAATATATCAGTACTAGAACATACAAAACATACTTTTATTTAATTATGTTTTTTTATGTCCTCACTATTTTTTCAATGTGCCTAGATACTAATCATTGCATCTGAAATCTTGATACACCTGTTGAATTCCAACTTATTTCTGTATTCTTATTTTATCCTTTCCCCCTTCTTAGTGACTATTTTCTGCAATCAAGGGTTCACGGACACATGGAGTCTTTTATGTATGTGTTTATCAAAGTTTTATGGTAAAGAATCATTTTCTTTCTAACACTTTCTGTTTTGGACCAATATTTTATAAAAAGCTACAAAAAGGTATTAGCGTTGTTAAAATCCTATAATAGTTTTAAATGTTCCACCTCAATTTCTGTAATTATTTCATCATAAAGTGGAAACAGAGTCCTAGGACTGGTGCTGGTTCATGGACTACACATTGAGTAACATGCTGTATGATGTCCATCCAACATAATTTACCTATGTGTTTTCCTAGTGATGGATAACAGATTGCCTACAACTTGTCTCCACTGCAAATAACTCAGTGTGGAAATTTTTCTATAGTATAATCCTAGAAACAAAAATTTTGTGTCTGAGAGTATGCAAACATTTTCTCAGACCACTTTCCATAATGTAAGCACCAATATTAACTCCTGCTAATTGTACATGGGGGTGAGAAGGTTCCTATCTCCTAATTCCTTGTGAACATTTTCTTAAAATATTTTTGGTCAAGAAAAGAGTTGTAAAATAATATCTCATTTTTAATATGTTTTTCTCCCCTTAATTACAAGTGGACTTGATCATTATCTAGTATTCTTCTTAGAATACTGGGATTCTATTTTTTTCAATTGCCTGTTCACATTTTTCATCAATGTTTCTTTAAGTTGTTTTTTATTTTATCACTATATATTTTTTAATTCTCACCTGAGGGTATTTTTCTATTGATTTTTAGAGAGAGTAGAAGAGAAAGAGGAAAAACAGAAATATAGATGTGAAAGAACACATTGATTGGCTACCTCCTGCAGGAGCCCTAACCAGGGCTGGGGCCAGGGAGGAGCCTAGCAACCGAGGTATGTGTCCTTAACTGAAATTGAACCCGGGACCCTTCGGGTCCACAGGCTGACACTATATTGACTTAGCCAAACTGGCTAGGGCTAGCTTGCTTTTTAGATGTTCATTGTCCCAGATTTTAATCTTTATTCCAGATTTGAATTTCTTGTTACCTGTTAACTTGAGAAAGAGTTTCTCACATTCTAGCATCTTTTAATTTTGTCTATAATATGCTTTATAGAGCTGAAATCCCTAAATTTGAACTAATAATTCATCATTTTTTATTTATTATTGATTTTTTTTGAAAAATAATGGAATAAAGTTCATTCTATTCCCTTGGTTATTACCCTCAGGAGACTAAAAAGCAATAATATCTTTTTTTCTTTCTATACTGGATTGCTGACACATTGTAATTCTTGCACTGTGAACACTTTATATCATGCACATAATTTGGAAAATGTTACTATGTTTCTCAATATTTGCTTTTTTTAAAAAAAGAAAGCAGGCTAATAGCACAGAGAGAGTATCAGTGTGTGTGGTGTCTATGTGTTGTCTCTGTGTGTGCAAAATATTTAAATACTTTAAAACCATTAAGAGATTTGACTTATTATTTTAAAGCTTACTCAGACAAATACTTGGCTCAACTTTTTGTGCTATAGGAAAATTTTACCAAACATTTATGGGACAACTAATCCTAATATGCAATCTTTTCCCATAACTGGCAAAAGAGAACATTCCCAACTCATTTCATGAGGCTAATGCAATCTTGACAACAAAGTAAGTAAAATTTTAGAAGAGAAAATGGAAACCAATGTCACTTGTGAATATAGACGCAAACAGCTTAAATATACACATGCATAATCAAATCTGTCCCTGTATGAAAGAAATGATTGCTGGGGCCTCACAGGAGTTTCCAGTGAACAGCTATTCACCCCTTTCCCAAGATTTGAACAGGTCGAGGAATAAAGAGAGTGTCTATATGGAGACCATACTATCATGTTCAGCCAGTTGGGGATTTCCTTAGTCAGGTTTCTTGCTGCCAGTGAACACTATAACTAAACAGTTTTGGTGGCAGTGCCTAGTGGAGACCTCCTGCACATTTTGGGGAAGAGCCTCTGGAATGCAGAGTAGCACAGGCTTCAGCAGGCTGGCTAACCCCAAGAGGCAAAGGGCAGAACAGAGCATGCCAGTTGTTCTCAGGTTTGCTAGTCTGCTCTGTTACTCCATTTTTCTGGGAACTGGGGGAATAAAACGGGGAGAGGGTGCCTCAAAATACACAAATTTAGGTCCCTTTGCAAGAAGGAATCATCAGAAACAGGAGAAAAGGTATTTTCCATCTGCAATCAAGACCAAGTTGTATACCCTTCACTCTTCTTCCTCATGTTAATTTACAAATTTAAGGTAATTTCAATCAAATGCTTGAAAGAATTTTATGTGCACCTTCACAGACCTACAAAGTGTATGTGGAGGAGAAAAGAGCTAAAAATAATTGAGAGAATTTTAAAGAAAAACAAGGTGAGAAATTGTCCTACCAGACATCGGAAGTTACCATAAAGAAATAATGCTGATACTGTGTGGTATCAGTGTGAGGGAAGACACATAGATCAATGGAACCGAGAAAAAGAAGTTATAAAAAGACCCACAAGTCTGTGGAAGCTTAATGTCGGAACACAGTAAATGCACATCAGTGAATTATGGCCCATTAAGCTGTGGCGCTACAAATGCCTAAACTTATGAAACTATGATATTGTACCACTTTACATCTTACAAAAACCAATTCCAAATGGATCAAACACTTACATTGTAAAACTCTGAGAGTAAAACAGGAGACTATATGTGACTTAGATACGCAAAAACGTTTAAACAAGACATGAATACACAAAAAAAGCACTGAAAAGTCAACTATACCTAAATTAAAAACACACACACATTATATTAAAAAATACTGGATATTGACTGGAAATTTACTGGAAATTGTATTTGCAACACATATAAATGTCAAAGAGTCAGTATCCAGTATATAGAAATAATTTCTATAAGTTACCCCAAGAGAAAAATTCATAAAAGATAGGATCAGGATAATCATAGAAGAGAAAACCTAAATAGTCAATAGAAATGTGGAAATGTACACGACTCACTAGCATAAACTCAGTAACTGTATATTAATACTGTACTGAAATATAATTTTATACTCCGTATAAAAAGTATAAAATATAAAGTTTTGGTGAGATTGTAGAGTCACATATTAACAGTCATGTTGGAATCAAATTTGGAATAATTATTAAATTAACTATATGCCTCCAAAATTTCTATTATAGATCAGTATTCTAGAAAAAATTTCACCATGTATACAATGACACATACTTATATGTATGACTATAGAGATACACACACAAGAATGTTCTTAGCAGCATTATTAATCATAGAAGAATACCAACAAATTACTGAAAAGTCAGTCAATTGGTATTGTAAGATATGTGAATATATATCTCAAATGGAATGCTAAGTAATAAAAATCAGGTTGCAGGAGTGAGATGAGTGGTGGTTACATTATTTTAAATGTGTTTTTATGCACCTGAAATATTGTGTAATAACAGAAATTCCTCACCAAGAAAAAAACCACATCATCAGTACATCAGTTGAAGGCTCCTTTATTCTGATGTCAGAAATGCCAGGCAGAGCGCTAGCTCCATGGACAAAATGGTCAGTTTTAGAGGAGGATGTGCCTGTTGTGATGAGAAATACAGCAAATTAAACCTGTGGTTATGCGTACAATCTGGTTCCTTAAGGTATCTTGAGAAATGAACAAGAAATATCTTGTGACAACGTTGTGGTGATGAAACAAGACACATTCTGTTTAATGCAACATTTGGTGAGGGCTACGGGCCAACACATTTGTGCAGTTTCCCTCAGGTCAATTTGCAAATTATAATAGATTACATTAATTCTTTTCATGGAGGCTTCCACCCAGTAAGTAAAAGCACTTGTCAGAGGAAGCTAGAATTGTTCATGGGCTCACTTAAACTAGGACCTGGACAGGGTAATGACATTTACCATATCAATTGAATAATTTTGAATTGAAATAAAATGTATGAAATATTGGAATACCTTTTTTTGAGAGCTATGGAAAACCAGCACAAGGGACCCCACACACACACACACACACACACAGAAGCATTTGCACCAAGCGCCCAAGTATGCTTAACTTAGCTTGAACCCTGGTGCTTCTGAAGCTTTATTTATATCCAGCATTGTGTACTGGAAAGGAAACCAGCTGACTCGAGTTTGAATTCCGGTCCCACCACCTCATAGAAACAAAGGATGTACTTCCTTTTGGCCTCAGTTCTATCCTCTATAAAATGGGATCACAGAATTACGTAGAAGGTATGACTCTCATTGTAACACTATTTGCAATAACAGAACTTTGTAAATAGAGTTCAACAAATCAGAGTAGGTTCTTATTATGGATCAATACATACTCCAAAGAGAATGAGATAGATACTTGTATGGAAAGAAGCACATGTTGCAAAGCAAGTTGCAGAATACTGGGTAAAAAGTGGACCCTTTGAAAAATAAAAGTCACTACCATACTTTCTTTTTCTCATTTTCTTTATTTATCTATGAAAAAGCTCAGGATGGGCTCACACTAAACTTTTAATGGTTATCCTTGGGCATGGGAATGGGGAGAGAATACCTTAAACTTATGAACTTAGCCTTTTCTTTTAAAGTAGCTTAATTGTTTTAAAAAGGAAGAGGAAGAAGCAACGTCTGCTTTGTAATGATATGACAAAGTGAGGTGATTTATGTAAACTCTCCGGCATAAGGCCAGGCATTGCATGGGCACTAAAATTGGTCATGATAACTCATGCAAATAATACACTAAAGACATATAATATTCATCCATCCATCCATCCATCCATCCATCCATCCATCCATCCAGTCTTTCAATCATGTGTTTATTCATATCCTTCCCAGGCAAACATTCAGCCAATTTAGTTCTCTCACTCCATTTCCATTACATCACCAGGGATAAAGTGATAATTCCTGGTCTTGGGGTGGATCTTGTCAGAACTTGAGTTCTGACCCTATTGCTCCCCTATTTCCTGTGCACCCTGGGATGATACATGGCTGCAGTTTACTTACATCAGAGTTGCCTCCAGATTCTCTTTCTGCGACTGGTGCAGGCTGACTACCCACCAAGATATTTCTGTGTGTTTCCTTTTAATTGGGGGAGTTCATAGTTGGGGCACAAGGGATCAAGGCTTGCTCCCTTGAGAATCTGAAGCTCCTGAGGCTAAAACGGGATTAGAATAAACAATGTTCAGTAGTTGTTTTCTGCTGAAGAACATTTAAACTTCCTAGAGGGGATACATTTAATTTATGTTACTGTCATTAGGGACTGTGTATGTGTTGCTTTCTTAAAGAGTAACTCCTTTTAAAATTCCCTAGTTTTGGATCAGGTTGAGCATCTTTTTTTAGGTCTAAGAATCTGTGTTTAGGTCTAGAAAATTGATCTTAGCACCATAATCAGCAAAAAGCTTGCCTCTCTTAAAAAAAAAGAAAAGAAAAGAAATCCAAAGCTAATCTAAATGTAAGAGCAGATGGTCCCTAGTGTGACAAAGAGAGTTACTACTATTTGGGCATATTT